TGGTTTCCATAATTAAACTATATAATTAATAAAGTTCTATGGAGTACCACTAATTTCATTTGTAAATATAATTATTATCTGTTAAAATCATATTGACGGTTGGGAGGTTTCAATATGACTCTCATGATCTTAGGTTCATTTCCGGACTGAGTTTCAAAAAAAAAAAACAATAATAGTACAGATGCATCAGATCTTAGGTTCATTTCCGGACTGAGTTTCAAAAAAAAAAAACAATAATAGTACAGATGCATCATCTATTTACTAAAAGAGAGTGCAACCTAATATTAATAATCTGAAATTCGTTGTAATCCTGTCCTTTTTTTTAACCATAGAGTTATATTTTCTATTACTCAAGACTAGTTTATTTCTTAAGCATGGTGAATCATGTCAGTGGTCTATATGATAAATGTGATTTTAATACTTGAATGGGGTTCGCTTTCATTAGGCTTCAAGCAATTTTTTTCTCTAGTGAATCACGATTACTTTGTATAATAATGGAAAAAAGTTGTAGAAAGTAGACTATTCGTTATTCCTTTGAAAAAGTAAGTATCAAATTGCTATGCATTATTAATCCAAAATAGAAAAACACTTATGAATATTTCAAGCTCATATATAACATGACAGGGTTCAATTTCATGTACACATTCACTTGATGGAGATTGAACCATATCATTCGTTCCAATGCATGCGAGGAATTTTTCGCATACGTTAAAAAGGATATATGTTTCTAGTATAATTTCAAAACTAATTAGAATTATTGGTGTTATAAACATTTTTCTCTGGTTAGACAAGGTGTCAATAATAAAAAAATATGATGACACTCACAAATCATATGCGCATGATTAGCACGTTGAGCCTAATCGCTACTTTAACTCGATGTTGTCACGTCACATCTACCTTTTTCCCCCACCACTAAATGATAAGTTACACAATGAGAATAAAACCCAAAGACAAGAGTGACAAATAGAGAGGCAAAATTGAATGAGTGCTGACAGCGGTAACAGATCCATTTATGATTGTACATGAGAATTAGCAATATGTTTTTATAGCTAGGTTTTCCCCTACCCACTCTCAACTCAGGGTTCCACCTCGTGTCCTGAATGGTTCTAGCTAGCTAGCAGCTCTTAGCCTGTGCCTCCCTTCCGACCAACCAACACTAGCGGCCATTAATGGGCCCCAATCATTTAAACCGAGGCCCGTATCGGGAAACCCAAGGAGCTGCCTTCATCTATGGCACTGCCCGCTCCTTTGAGCATGGGACTATACTTAGTGGCCTTAATGGCGGGCTTTGTTCTTGTTGGCGAGAAGGCAAAGATTGAGATGATTGGCGCCCTAAAGAAAAAGTAGAGAGAGAGAGATATAGAGAGAGAGAGAGAGGACATGATGGCTAACCTCTTTCCTTCCACAACTTAATACTTTGGTCCTTTGCTTGCCCCAATTCCCAAAAGCTACCATGCATGAAAGACATGGCTAACAACTAGTGATGATCACTTGTATGTCAATTGGGTCCTCTCTAGGAGCGGCTCATGAGTTTTGCTACAGCTGGGATCCAAAATATGAGACCAATACAGGGGACAAGTGAGGTGTCCCCTCTCCTATTGGATAATGAGTTGGTCATCATTAATGATGGCCAACTCATTATCCAATAAGAGGGGGGACACCTCACTTGTCTCCCATATTAGCCTCATATTTTAGGTCCTTGGGGAATTTTTCTATTTGTATACTAAAACAGCTGTTACTGGTTGAACAAAAAAACAAAAGAAAAAAAACCCATCTACAAATAATGAATGCGGATTCTTTTCTCTTTTCTTAATTGTTGACAATATAATTGCTGGTGTTATTGTTGCTACTACGGGAACAATACGAATCTTATATTCTGTTTCTCACCTTCCCTTTTTCTCTTTCTCCAAACCGACGCTTGCCCGTCCCGTCTAGCGCTCTTTAATTCCAGTGAGTGAAGTTGAGATTTAGAACCGAAAATATAGTTTCTTATGACTAAAAACATTCATAATGCCTATATTTCAATATTCTGTCGATTTAACAGGCTTTAGTATCGCGTTAAAACTGTTTCAGCGGAACAAAATGAGTTTCAGGTCCTACTTTGACGAATAACTAAATTAAGAGTTGAGTTTTGGCTTCGTTAAGCCTGTTTTTTTACCTTAAATCCGTAAGATCGAATTTGTCTATTCTACCACGCTGGTAGTCTGGTACAAATTAAACTAAAACAAGTCTACAACTAAACTAATTTATCCCCAATATTGCGTCAAACTAACTCTTAATGATTATAGAGTGTGTTTGACAACCTCTTAAAATAGGATTAAAGGTGTATTATTCCAATTTTGAGAAAAAATTGTCAAGTTAAAGCCTGCCTAGCACAAATCCAATTTTCTTTAGGGCAAATTTGGCCCTCAAAACTGATTTTGTTTTAGAACTCCTCATTCTTAGGTTAAAGCAAAATTGTTATGGTCATTTTAGTGATGAAAAATTATCTTCAGACAATAGCAGACAAGTGTCTCACATTATGTATAATCGAGTCAGCGCTTCAAAATAACCAAAGGCCCAATTCGGTTGACTCAACACACGTCGACATATTGCGAGGACGACTCGGAAGGCGTTTATGTGTCGACACTTGGCTGAGTTGACTGCTCAATCACCCCACTCGGCTGACTAATCAGCTGACATCTTGCGAAGGCGAATCAAAAGGTGGTACTTCTCGACCACCGAAAGAGTAGAAAGACGACGAAATACCTCGAGCTCCCCCCCTCCCGTGTACTGACGACCAATCACCTCGCAATAAAAAATTATTAAATACATTATGGGCACAATCATTCCTTTGCCTCCAATAGTCTTTATGACACATCGGACCACATCGGCACAAGGGCTGTGCAATCGGTCGGTCGGCTCGGTTTTTGCTCAAATTTGGCCAAATCGAACTGAACTGTCTATCATTCAAAACCGAAGCAAACCGATATATTCAAGTCGGCTCGGTTCAGTTTGGGTCGGTTTGTTCGGTTTTTACATGGGTACAAATGTTATGTCCAAATTCAATTTCACATCTAATCTGTTAACGACGAAATAAGTCTCTTATGCTTTAATTTATTAAAATCCATAAACTATTAAATGCTACCGAATATTAGATGTAGAAAGCAAAATCTAATTCCTACCAAAGATTACATAATATTTTTTAGATAAAACTTACATAAGGAATTAAAGTGATCTCAATCTAATAGACAAAGTAAATATAAAATATATAATAACTTAG